TCGATTCCTTACCTGGTGACAAGTTTTTCCACTGGTGGACTCTACGATCCTTGGTTCAGCAACACCAACATCAGGATTGGGAGTTGGTTCGTCCTGTTTCTCGCTCACCACCGCCATATCCAAAGACAAACTCTGAAAACCGATTGATTTCGCAAAATGAGTTTTTGTTTTCTTACACTTGTTTGCTTGAGAGGTTTTATCCTTTCATCTTATTAGATAGGAGAGTGATAATTTCTATGGAAAGAAAATCCAAACTTTTGATTTCTTTCCTTTTCCCTCGTTACCGAAAATTTTTGGAGGGCGAATAATGGCGGGCTAGGGTTTCGATTTTTACGAGGTTTTTTTTTTTTTTTATCAGGTGTCTCCGTACATTTCATCTTAGGGATTTAGAGACTCTCATATTTATACACTAAATTGATAAATTACAATCACTAGTAAACTATTTAAGTTTTAAGTTTTCATCTATTTCGGACATGATAACGGAAAATACTGTATTATTTGACATGATCATTTTGTATAGTTTAGTGGCGCCAACTTAACGGTTTTTCTATCATTTAAATTACCGTTAGTTTTGAAACTAGACATATGTATATACACTAAATTGGTAAATTACAATCATTAGTGATTTATTAAGTTTTAAGTTTTTACTTATTTCGGATATGAAAACGGAAAATAACGATCACAAATTACAAAACGTAATTATTTGACGTAATCATTTTGTATAGATTAGTGGCGCCAACTTAACGGTTTTTCAATCATTTAAAATACCGTTGGTTTTAGCACTAATCTAACGGTTCATTCTATCATTAACTTCTATAGATTCTGGGCTTTTTAAAAATTTAAGTTTAGCTTAACTTTTTTTTGGGCCTTTGTTTTAATTTACAACAAAATCTTGTAAGAGTACTTATTAAGTTGTTTTATTTTTCCTTTTGAATATTCAAAATTCGATTAATAAAAAGAGACGAATTAATGTTACAATCATAGAATCTAGCATTTTTGGGCATCAAATTTAAGAAGAATGTCTCAATTGTTCATTCCAAATCATCGTACATTTTATCTTACGAATCTAGATATATATATACACTAAATCAGTAAATTACAATCACTAGTAATTTATTAAGTTTTAAGTTTTCACCTACTTCGGATACGAAAACGGAAAATAACGATCAAAATTTGAAAATACGTAATTATGTGGTGTAATCATTTTGTATAGTTCAGTGGCGCCAACTTAACGGTTTTTTTATCATTTAAATTACAATTGGTTTTGGAACTAATCTAACGGTTTGTTCTGTCATTAATTTATGTAGATTCTGGGCTTTTTGAAAATTTAAGTTTTGTTTTGTTACTTTGTTTTGGGCTTTTACTTTAATTTACACCCAAATCTTGTAAAAATACTTATTAATTTTTTTTTTTTTTCCTTTTGAATATTCAATTTTCGATTAATAAAAAGACGAATTAATGCTAAAATCATAGAATCTAGTATTTTTGGGCATCAAATTTAG